GGTCCTAAAAGAGGGTTGCTCCGCTGTGAAATAGCTGCCATGGGGCAGGATAAATACCCCAGGAATTTGGGGGGGGACTAACTTGGATCCCCATTGTCATGCATCCTGTCTTCCAACAGCAGCCAATGCTAGGTATCCCAGAGGGAATGAACAGAACAGGGAACTCACTGCTGCCACCCATTCCCTGTCCATACCCCACTGGAAGAGAGGAGGGTGGAAAGAGGGCGTCATACACCCCCAATGGCAGGGCTGACGAGGGGGTGCCAGGCTTTGAGGCGGAGTGCACGCGTAACAACCCAACAACATGGAAAACGCTAACCCTACAAGAACAACAACAACAGGAAGAAAATGAGCACCACAATCTCGGAAAATGAAATCAACGAAACGAAACCAAAACTGCCGGCGCCGGGATGGCAGGGCGGGGCCGTGGCCGGAGAAAGGGGCACGCGGCCCTGCCCCCCAGCCCTGGGCACGTCCTCCCCCAGGCTGGGAGAAGGCCTTCGGTCTGTGCGTGTGGCCATGTGCGGCTCTGAACAGCTGCCTGGATGGGCGGAGCCCGTCTACAGATTGTGCGTGTGAGTGTTTTGTGTGTGCGCGCGTATGCGCTGCGTTCGCAACGCAATTAACAGTCAGTATTGAAACATGGCGGCCCAGGTGGGGCTCGGCTCAGCCCCCTCTTCTCCTCCCTCTCCCCATTTTCCACTAGGGTTGCCAACCATCCAGGATTGTCCTGGGGTCTCCAGGAATTCAAAATTCATCTTTAATTAAAGATTATGTCACGTGATGAAACCTTCAGGGACACATCCACCCAAAACTGGCAACCTTCCTTCCCAGTGGCTGGCATTGGAAACTGGCAGCTGGAAAATTAACGCCTGGGGGACAGGTCCCCTAGGGAAATACGGGTAGAAAGGGGAGGTAGAGGAAACATGTCCATCACTGTTTAAATGGGCATCTGGGAAAAAAGAAAACCCACAGCCATTAATGGGAAAAAATTTGATTCACCCCGTGCAGCCATCAATCCTGGTGCCCAGCTAGGAGTGTAAACTCTGCGCAAGCACAAGTGATGGCACAAGGAACCAGGGTGGACATATCGTCCACTATCCCACTACTGCCACCATCCCTATTGTGGGCGAGTCCAATTTAATACCACGCGAGAGATTTTCCACTGAAGCAAGTCCCCTCCTCTCATTTTGGTAAAGACAACTCAAGGAAAATAAAACCCCAACTTCTGTTCAGTGAATTGAAATAATAGTGAAACTTTCCCACGAAGTGGCTTGGAAAAGGGAGAAAAGTGGAAACTGGGATTTTGAACATAGATCTAGTTCAGTTTTCCCTGTGGGGAATCAAACCCCACCGGGACAAGGCCTGGAGAAGCGCATCTGATTGATTAGCTAGGAAAATGGAGGATTATGTCACACAAGAAATGCTCCTTCTTAACTAGTTAATTCCGTACAACACCTTTTGGGAGGGACCAGTCATCCCAGGAAAAAGGGGTTTATCTTGGGATAGCTTATTCCTGTATACGCAGGGAAATAAGCTACATGGGTCTAATTTTATCCAAGTGTTTCATCCACATTTGAGGTTGGCCCACCAGTAAAAACACAATCCTGACGTAAGGCCAGATAAGAATGCTGTCATTGTTCAGTGGTTTTCAACCTTTTTTCATGGGCGCCCTCCTAACACGCTTCAAATGGTGGTACGGACCCAGTCTGCAGAGTCCCGGGAGCAGGTGAACCACAGGCTGAAAACCACTGATCGATTCTGCCCTGTTTAATTCCAGAGCATGTAGGAAAACATCCCAGTGCCTGAAAAATTTGTTCAAACTGGGCTTGAGGAATGAGGATTCCCCCTAGCCAAGTGGAAGGAGAACTGGGGATTGAAGAAAGAATAAAAACATGGAGGGGGGGAGAGGGAATCCAGGGTGGTTTTGAAACCCTGATATGGGATTTCTCTAGGAACAGGATAATTTCCCCTGCCTACGATGTCCCTCCTCATGCATCCTACGTTCCTTGTGGGCCAGGTTGGAGATGCTCTTGTTCCCGAAGCAACCAGAAACAAAGCTTAAAAACAGCCCATTACATGGGATCTTTCTGCCTCCTCCCCCTATTTCTCTGCTCAGACAGGGCCACAGGAGGCTTTGGAAACAAGCTGCCGAGAGGCTGAAAGACGGGGGAGAGGGGGGACTGCGTCCCCGCTTCGTTGGCCTCTGCAGCATTTACGCCGTGGCTACCAAAGCCACAGTTTTGGCCACTGCAAAACAGAGAGATTTGGGCTTCTGGCCAAATAGCTGCCAGTTGGCGACTGACGGGGTGTCGTCCATCAGTCCTCCCCCCCCCCCCGGCCCATTGTGCTCCCTCCCCCCTCGGGGGCAAGAAGAGAGGGCATCGCTGAGGTAAATGTGGCAAGAGGCACCAGGAGGATTCTGGGTAAGGATGGGGGGAGAGGAGGGGGGGGGATGAGCAGCCCCACCCCCTGGGTGGTCCCAGCTAGGACAGGGAAATGGGGGGGGGTCTGGTGGAGTGGGGGGAACAGAATAGAGGGAGAGTCAATCCTGACCCTCCTCCCGACTGGACGGGCTGAAAGTGACCCCACCCTGCACCACCCCCCCCAGCAGGGAGGATGGGGGGGAGGGGCGTCCATATCCCATCGTCAGCCCAACTGACGTCCCCCCCGCTCTTGGGGCCAAAATCCAGCCAGCACAACAGCCTGGTTCCCTGGTCCGGATGTGGCTTCAGAGCACCAGTGGGGGGAGGAGAAAGAGGGGGGGGAGGGAACTGCCCCTCCCCCATTTGGTTGGCTTATATTGCAATCCCCAGCATCGCCCCTGGGGGCAGCATTCCCCTAGCACCATTAAGGGGTGACCAGCATTAAAGGGCCCGCCGCCATTCCCCAGGGCATGGCTGGCGAGCTCCCCTCCCCCATGCACCCCAATATTTCCGGGGGGAGGCCTAAGGAACGGAATGCCCAGGGGGGGCAGGGCTGAGGTAGGTAGCATTCTCAGGGCCCCGGAGGGGAAGGCGAGCAGGTGAGTGTTGCTGGTGGGGGGTGGCGGGGAGAGGCAGGCGCCTCACCCCGGACAGACTGGGGTCGGGTTTGGTTCCGTTTGTCCCATCTGCAGAGTGGGAGCGTCAGGTGGGGGGGCCAGACCATCAGGTGGCCTGGTCCAGCTCCCCCAGGAGTTCCTCGCCTGGCTGGAAGTGCCCGCCGCTCTGCTCCAAGGCCTCGTCCTCGCCATCATACAGGGCCAGCTGAGAGAGCACTGGACCATCCACCACAAAGGGCAGCATGTCTCCCAGCAGGGCTGGAGGGAGCGGGAGGCAAGTATGTGAAAGGTAACAAAATGGGGGTAGAGAAAAAAAGGGGGGGGAGAAGAGAACAGAAAAAAAACCGAGGAAATTAATTTCATGTGGCGGGGAGTTCCGCTGGTTCACAAGACAGGTGTAGCAAAGGACGCCAGCAGCAGAGCTAGCCAGTAAGTGTGCTGCTGCCCTCTGCTGGATGCAGCCAGAACTGATCAGTTATATATGCCCTGCGCTGCTAGTTGATTCTCCCAAAGCCCCAGAAACAGGACTCCAGGCTGGGCCCGGCTGCCAGCAGCATTTACAGTGACCTCAGCTAGGTCCCTGCCCTCATGCAGGGGGCTCAGGAAGGAAACCCCTCCCAGGGTGCCTGCTGGGGAGACAAGATCGGCTGTATCCCGGCGTCCCCCACCGTGCCTCACAGGCTGTATCTAGACTGGCAAGTTGTTCCGGAAAATCAGCGGCTTTTCCGGAAAAACTTGCCAGCTGTCTACACTGGCCGCTTGAATTTCCGGAAAAGCACTGATAATCTCATGTAAGATTATACTGTAATCTCATGTCATACTATGCTGCTCCCGTTCGGGCAAAAGTCTTTTTCCGAAAGACTTTTGTGCAAAAGGGCCAGTGTAGACAGCTCAGATTTGTTTTCCGCAAAAAAGCCCTGATGGCGAAAATGGCGATCGGGGCTTTTTTGCGGAAAAGCGCGTCTAGATTGGTCACGGATGCTTTTCAGCAAAGAGTGCTTTTGCGGAAAAGCATCCTGCCAATCTGGACGCGCTTTTCCGCAAATGCTTTTAACGGAAAACTTTTCCGTTAAAAGCATTTTCGGGAAATCATGCCAGTGTAGACGTAGCCACAGTGAGCTCCCCGGTCGTGTGGAACTCACCCATTGGTTCCTCCAGGCCCAGCGTCTTCCGACCTACCACTGTGCTGCACCGGGGGGCGCCAGCT